AGCGCCATCTGCTTAACGGATCATTTACTAACTATCTATATACTACACTTTTTCCCCCTAAAAAAAAAAAATTCTTAACATTGATACATTTATTTATTATATCAAAGTATAATTATACTGAAACAATATCTTATAATCTCTTTAACCAAATAAAATTCTTTCATAAATTTAAACGCTTTGGTGCTTGACGAACTCGCTGGGATCTGCGTGGTCCTGGACTTTCCGACTCGCTGTTTATTACAGTCTTCGACGTTGGTACTTTAGGTTCCTCAACGTTTTGTCGGAATGCACTATTCGGAACTTCAATGTGCTTTGGAGATATCTGAGGTATTAGTTTTGCTGAATCAACACTTTCGTCGGCCATATGTGTATCATTTTCTGGAAATGTTCTATTCTGCTGATAATTAGAATCATATTCTGTATCTCTTGTATTACCCAGACAAGCCTCCGAAAGTGGTAAACCAGCTTGCGCCTCTCTTGACTTCGCTTGATTCACAGTCTGATCTACTTTAATGTGGCTAGCGTGATAGAGCCTTGTTTTTCCGTTCACTAAAACTAAATATGTTGCAAAACTTTTTCGTTCTAAAATTTTTGCGGGCCACCACTTGACTTCTTTATCCGCAATTGACTTAACGAAGACAGATTGTTCTGGTCTAAAAGTAGGCATCTGACAGTTAGTTTCTTTCGACCGTGTACAATTGAATTCTGGTTTCAACATCGATAATTTTGTCCGAGGAAGCTGCTTTAATACTAACTCCGCAGGAGCAACCCCTGTCTTGACGCATGGTGTGTTTCGAGAATACAACAAATACTTATTTACCTTATTGGCAAGACTCGAACTGGTTTTACATTCTAAGAGACTTTTCCTCAAATTATGTTTTATAGATTGAACTGCTTTCTCTGCCATACCGTTACTTTGTGGATGGTATGGAGGGCTATGTGTCAATTTTATTGCATTCTCTTTACAAAATTGTTCAAATTCTACTGCGTTAAATGGTGGTCCGTTGTCTGAAACTAATTCTTGCGGAAAACCCAGTACGCTGAAAGTACTCAACAACTTATCTGATGTCTTTGTACTGTCTGTACCCTGCATCACGTGTGCATCCACCCATTTTGAAAAAGCATCTACATATATTAAAATTTTTTGACCTTGAAAATCTAAAAAATCTATATGGGCTCTCTGACCGACCTGTTGTGCGAATTCCCAGCTCACTAGATTTTTCGCAGTCGTAACATTCTGAGTAACTTGACATATATTGCAACCTTTTATCTTTTCTTCGATTTCGTCATTAATTTTTGGCCAAAATACATATGATCGCGCCAGAAGTTTCATTCTCACGATGCCTGGATGATTTTCGTGTAATAAATCTAAAACTTGTTCTCTCAATTTCGATGGTACTACAATTCTGTTTCCCAAACATAAACATCCATTTGATACCGAAAGTTCGGTTCTCACGTTAAAATATGGTTTAACATTTTCGTCTCCCATGCGATCTGGCCATCCCCTTTTTGTCAAGTCAAGTCTACAACTTTACTCAAAACAGGGTCTTTTAACGTTTCCCTAGCAATATCTAAACTACGTAGTGGTTCCTCTGCCTGGATCTGTAAAACTTCGTCCCCCGTACTCCGACTCATTGGCAAACGCGACAGCATGTCTGCACATTTCAAGTCGCGCTTGACTATAAGCTCATAATCGTAATTGCTTAGAATAACCGCCCAGCGTTGCAGCCTATATGCCGCCAAGGGTGGTATTCCAGTTTTCGAACCTAAAATTCTATTCAGCGGTTGGTTATCAGTGACCAGATAAAATTTCCGTCCGTAGATATATTTATGGAAGTGCTTAACAGCAAATACCAATCCCAGGGCTTCTCTATCTAATTGGCTGTAATTTTGTTCTGCTTTGGACAACGTGGCTGAAGCGAACAATATAGGTTTTTCAACGCCGTCAATAATGTGACACAAAACCGCTCCCACCCCATCTGGACTTGCATCCGAAATTACATAAATAGGTATTTTTGGGTTGTAATGTGTTAAGATGTTATTATGTAATAGTAGTTTTTTGCTAAGTTCAAAAGCTTTCTCGCAGCATGTACTCCAAATAAATTTTGTATCCGACTGGAGGAGTCGATATAAAGGATGAAGGTGTGAGCTTAAATTTGGGATGAATTTACCATAAAAATTAATCATCCCTAAGTATGACTTTAGTTGAGTTACATTTGTAGGTACTGGACATTCTAATATGGCCGTCATTTTTGCAGTTGGCCTAATACCCTGATCGTCGATAATATGTCCCAAGTACTCTACGGATTTTTTAAAAAAACTACACTTTGACAAGTTTACTCGTACATTAAATTCTTCTAGTTTTTGTAATACTTTAAACAGGTTCTGTTCACACTGCTGTCGATCTCTTCCGGCCACAACCACATCATCCAAATAACAGCAAACATTTGGAATATTTTTGAGAATTGCATCCATAATTGACTGAAAAATTCCGGGTGCGCTACTGACCCCAAAAGGTAACCGATTAACTCTAAACAGCCCTCGATGTGTATTTACCGTTAAAATATCTTTGCCTGTCTCAGATAACTTTACCTGCGTGTATGCCGCCGAAAGATCCAGTGTGCAAAACACTGTATTACCTGACAATGAGTTTAAAATATCGTCCAATCGAGGCAGAGGATACCGGTCCCTTATAACGTTTTTGTTGACTGTGTTTTTGTAATCTACGCATAGCCTTATAGAATCGACGCCGGATCCTTTTTTGGGTACCACCACGAGAGGGGATGCCCAGTCGCTGGAAGTCACAGGTGTCCAAAGTCCATTTTCCACGAGTTCGTCTATCTTTTTATTAACTTTATCAATTATACCGTATGGAATAGTGTATGGTTTTCTATAAACCGGTGTAGCCCCTTCCTGTAAAACAATGTGTGCTGTAAAATCGCTGATACAAGAATTCAACTCATTTGAAAATACCCGCGGAAATTTTTCTTTTAAGATATCGGTAATTAAACATTCTCGACTAATTTGGTTGACTAATAACAAATTATTTTTCCATTTAGGATATAAAGCATCTAACCAGTCGCGACCTAATAGTGGTGTCTTTAAATGACCTTGAATTATTACAATAGGTAATGACATTGAACCTAAAAAATCACTGCTCGATACTTTAACCCACGCTTGTCCGACTACATTCAAGCAATGACTTGATGCCGCTTTCAGAGCAATGTGACACTTTTCGATTTTTACCGAATTATTAAAATATTTTACAAAGTTTTCCTGACTAATTACTGAGACCGCCGCCCCTGTGTCCACTTCGAACTCTATACCTTTGTTTTCAACAACGAGCGATTTCGACAATCTCGGTGTAACCATGTTAATGGCTTCCACGATGTTCACTTCGTTGACACACAGACTGCAGTTGCAGTCCTCTGCAACTTCCTCCTTGGTTGGCGGTTCTTCATGTAGCTGATGAACTCGATGCTGATTCTTCTTCCTGCATTGCTTCCCGAAATGTCCCTTGATATCACAGGCGTGGCATGTAACATTCCTCGCCTTGCATTCTGACAGATGTTCCGGTCTCCATGGCCCTCCGCAACGAATACAAATTCCCTTGTTCTTCTGATCCGAGAAACTTTGTTTCTTTTTGTAGTTTGACGCATTGTTAGTGGACCCTTTCGAAATACTATGCACTGTGTCACTTGCAAATTCCTTTGTTTGATTACTTGCTAATTCCATAGACACTGCTTCTTTAACTGCACTATTATAGGTTAGGTCCGGTTTCACTAGTAACTTGCGTCGCGTATCCTCGCTCACAATTCCGCAAACAAACTGATCCCGTAATGCGTCGTCTAAAAATGTCCCGAAGTTGCAGTACTGAGCCAATTTCTTCAACTCCACCCCGAACTGTGTGACCGTTTCCTCAGTTTTCTGGAAACGTTTATGGAATCGATAGCGTTCCGCTATAATGCACTTTTCGGGCGTGTAATAGTCCAAAAGCACTTTCTTCAGAGCATCGTAGGTTTTCGTACTTGGCTTGTCCGGAGCCACACTATTCCGTAAAACATCATAACACTTTGGCCCGATCATTGTCAAAAATAGTGGCACTTTCTTTGCATCCGGTACATCGTTGACGGAGACAAACTGCTCGAACCGTTCAACGTACGATGCGAATAATTCCTCACTGGAATATTCTGCGATGTAACCAACATAGCCTGTTCTGCCGGCGGCAGCCTGTCCTTCGACTGCCATTGTATTGTTTCACGCACGGCGTTCACTTTACCTCGTCGCCAAATATGCTATATCCTTGGATGAGGATT